CCACCCAGGGGCGCCGCAAGGGAGCTGTGCACTGAAGGAGAGAAAGGGCCCTGCGCGGGCTGCACACCCGCGGGGAGGACCGTGGGGCTGCTCTGCCCTGCGGGCTGCTTCCCGGGCACAGGGGGGCCGACGGGTGGCCTCGGCGCCGCCGGGGTTCCAGGCCGGCCGCTCAGGGGAAAGGTCAAGGCGGGAATCGGGTCCGATATTCAATACAGGCAGGCTTGGCATAAAGGGCTAACGCCATTTGGGGCCTGATGTTCTCTCTTCAACAGTACTGATGATTTTTACTTCAATATTAGCTTAGCAAAAAATTGTAATACGTTTCTTTAAAAACGCCTCACCATATACAAATTTTAAAATAGTAATAATTTTTTATTTTCAGCTATTTTATTCTTTTCTAACATCCCTTATTTTTCCGTTGGTGGCTGAGACTTTCACAATCATGGCTTTTAGAATTTTTATCTAATGATTTAGTCTGAATTCCGAGGAGCCTTCTCACCGCCACCGAGGTTCTAGGCCAGCGCCCCACCCTCGCCGCGCCGAGCGCGAACCCCAGTAAAGCAAGGTGGAAACACATTTCCCAGGCTTCTTTCAAAGCGAGGATGACACAGGAAGGAAAGCCCTGGTCTTCAGTTCCACCTAAACTAATAAAATATTTCTTTTCCCAACTCTGTGCTTCATTTGAAAATGTTATAGGAATAAATAAGTGGCTACTTCAGAATGTTTAGGTGTGAAGCTTCTTGAGCCGATTGAATAAATCAGCTTCTATGTTCCCCTTTACCACTCCTCTGTGAGCAAGCTCCGCTCTGCCTGGGGCAGCGTGTTCCGAGACGGCCGAGGTTTCCTTGAGACGAGTTGCGAGGCCATGAACAGCACACCCCTTAGCACTTCCCAGAGGCCCTCAGCACCCACGCCTCCTCTGGGAGTGTACCAGCCGGGCCACGGTCTCTCTCTCTGCCTGATGCTTCCAGAGGCAAAAGCTCAAAACATCCGAGTTTGGAGAAAAGGAAAGTTGATTGATTAAGAAGGTGCCAACTGAGAAGATGGGAGACTTAGTGGTCCCTGAAATCCATCTTAAGGAAGTCTCCCGAAAATTTAATTGTGCCCTGGATACTTCACCTATCATACTACCGTTTGCACTTTCAGCATTTACTCTTACTGACCGGTTTTCCTAGACTCGAAGCTTCCTGAGAACAGCGACCACCCTCCTCATGCACAGCTTTGCACACCTAGTACTGAGCACAGAAAAACCACTCAACACATGCCGCTGAGTGAGAAAAGCCAGCAGAGCTTTGTGATAAAATCGCACGCATGTGCTTCGGGGCAGCAGGCTTTGTGTTCTCGCTGACCCTTATGCCCGGCCATAATGATCTTCTCTACATTATTTCAGGTTCTTCCGTGAACTTTGTGTAATAAGTGCAGTCTGTAACAGAAACACTCTATTTCAAACATAAACAGCCCAGCAATAACCCCTCTGAAGACATTACTTGGCAGCCTGAGTATCATAGAAGCACACAGCCTGGTCATTGGCGTTGGTGCCTTGCTTCCCTTAAGGCTTCACTCACAAGGGCAGCTTATGGTGGAGGATGCTAGCCAACGGTAGAGGGTGCCTGTTTGATTATTTCTGTGACTAGAAATAGAAATTGTAGAAGGACCTCCAGGCATTAGAAATTGGGGGGCGGGAATTAACTACCAACTTGAGGAACTGAAGTAGCCAAATTTCATTTACCATCAGAGTGTTATTATTTTTAGTGAACTATATCTGTAAAATGAATTCTCTTCATGGAAGCTCTCAAAAAACTACAAGCATACCCCCCNTTTTATCGTGAAATGTATCCCATTTTAAGAGAAAAATGCAAAGTTATATATAAGTTTGATGTATTCCAGTATTAATCTGCTTACAATTTCTGTAAGAAAATACTAGTGAAAATTTTTCAGTATTTCTTCTACACTTACTCAAAGTTGAATCAATAAAACACAAATATTTTCTTTCTTAACTGTACAGGTTTAATGACTGTTATTCACCTTTCTACTATGTTTCCTTTCCTGTTGCTACTCTATAATTTGTTGATATGCAGAATATATCGAACTCCAAGTGTCTTTGCAGTAACCCTTTGGTCATCCCTAGGTCATGTTTTTTATATTGGTTCCTAGAGCAACTCTTTAGAGGTTTGGTGAGTTCTAGGATCAAACTAATCATTTAAGGCACGGTTCTAAGTTAGGAGAATCTTTCTTATTACTTAAATACACTTTCCCATCCTACTTTTCTAGTTTCTTACCTGAAGTTCCATTGATATCCAAAAAATTAAAGAGGCAACCAACATCTAGAGTGAAAGCTTAACTTGTCTCACAATAGTAGCTCAATCTTCCAATTCATTGAATTTTATATTTGCTAATTAGGTTACCTTTAATATTATTGATTAAATTTTTCAGTATTTCATTTGTAACTAAGTTGACTTAAATATTGCTCTAGACAAGGTGGTTTATGGTAAAAGAAAAGCTAGTTGATACAAAATTGGTCTTTTTATATGTCTTCTTATTAGTCCTTGAATTCTGTCTTATAATGGGAGCACACATGCTTTTTGTTTTATTACTGTTTCATTTCTCATTTAGATTATAGCTTTGAGCTTGAAAGAATTTGAGCATTGCTACTTACTGAAATTCAATTTATACTTTATCCTTTGGACAATATTATTTCCTTTAAAAGATTGTTTAGTTTCCTATCCCTCATGTTAATTATAAACAGAGGACAATTTTCAAGAAAAAGGCTTTATAGATTTTTAAGAGAAACATTTGTATTTAAAAAAATAAACCAGAGTGCTAGTCTTATAAACAGCAAAAACACTGTTAACATTTTTTTTTTTGAAACTTACATAAGCTTGGGGGAACTCAGCATACTGAAACAGCCTATTCCTCAATTTATGGTAAAGTATTTGATAATAGATATAAAGTTACTATTGTAAGGACTTTTTTCCCCTTTAAAGTAAAAAGATTAACAATAATGAAATAATATTCCCAATGTTGGTTAAATTAAACACTAATCTAAAAGAGAAACAATAATAAAATTAGACCAATTTTATAAAATATACCCAATTTTTATATAATAATAATAATGTGGTATTTTTATGGCAATAATTTGCTGTTTAATTTCACTTTGTGCTGTCCTTTATTGTTCTCTAGAACATGAGCACAGGCTTTGCTTTGATAGTTATAGGGAAAATGCCGCAAGATTGTTGTTTTGAAAGATATTTTTCAAAATGTTCCTACTTAAAAAAAAAAAAATCAACCAAAAATATAGTAAAAATGACAGGTTGATGTTCTAGGTAAATCACCTCTTCATATTTTCAATGACAGAATGAATCCGTTTATTTACTAGTACAGAGCATTCCTTTCCAAACTTCAAGGTCAAGTATATTTTCGTAAACCAAAAATACTGTTTCTTATACTGCATTACTTTGAATTAGTACCAATAAAATCTTCAAGAAAAAAAGTATGTTTTCTCTTGCTTGTTGAGAAACTGATCAACTAAAAAGCAAATGTCTATAGACAAAAACCTAAAGCTAAATAGGGTAAAAGAAAAGTGGCAAAGCATCTCT